CCCCAAAACCCCAAAACCCCAAAACCCCAAAACCCCAAGATAACAGATTCGAATTGAATCCCAAAATACGTAAAAGTGTTACATAAAGTTTAGACTACTATTCTTATTATGTGAGTAAATTAGTGTCGATTAAATCTAAAAATTTGACAGCTTTTGCTTCATACATTTCTCTGTTCTTTGACATTGTTTTGTCTGTACTTAGCATCTTTACAAAATCTTCTGAACTTAAAAACTCTTTAAGCACAATTTGGAAGGGCTTGAGAGTCAGCAGGGTTTTGAGTTTTAAGTAGGAGTATTTATCAAGAACATTATAATATTTCATATAAACCTTCCTAACTTCATACCTTCCTATATATTTCTTCATTATCATCCTAGTCGAAATGGATGCGACCATGAGTTTTGTTAAAAAGTAGTCATTGACCGGATAATTATCCAGTTGCTTCTTATCTGTAGCCAAAAGTTCCAATGAAGCAGCTTCGTCAATCTGAGATTGAGGAAAAAGGGTGGAAAATCTGAGTTTGCAAATCTTGTCAATCTTAGTAAGAATTTGAGATTCTTGAGTCTTAGAAATCGCAAAGATATGTCTTTTGTCTGATCATTCATGGCTATAAAATTTCTTCAAGGCTCTTAATATAGTCTTATGAAGTACATCATCTCTGGTGTTTGTTTCAGTTAGAATCGCTTTTGTCCTAACATCAGTCCCATATTTTGGGATTGATTTTATAGTTTCTAAAATTAATATTAGAGAATTCTTAGCAGTAGTAAGAAGCAAAAATGGTAAATTATCTTACTTTTATTAAGTTTTAAACTTTTCTTGATGTCTTTTGCAATTTTATTCTTAGGGATAGGCTTATCTTGAGTCTTTTTGAAGTTGTTTGCTGTAATTTTTATTCGATTCAATGATGTTTAATTTATAAAAAGACTCCCTGATAATTCCCAAATTAAATTTCTGACTTGATAAGAGGTTTTAAAGACACACAAGATTTGGATTATATAGAAGAGCTAAATAAAATCATCCTCGCTCTCCAAAAGATAGCAGAAAATATTAAGGATTTATTGAAAATTTACAAAATAGAGTATCGAAAAATAGTGCTGATAAAAATTTGTGGCATACCTTGAATTTCTCCTTCACTAGTGATCCGGGTATCTTTAGCAATCTGGTGTGAATCCAAGAGTTGTTGCGAATCAGTTTGACTGTTGATAACATTATCTGAATGCTCTAGACTGATGGCAGTCTTCTTTTGAAAATAAGAATAATCTAATTCGCATGCACAACATGCTGAATCAATTTTTATAGTATAGTTTTGTGCTCCAAATGGTGTCCCTCAAGCAGTATTTTCGATTTTAGGTTGTGAGAGCGTTGCCAATTGATAGCCAAGAGTCATAAGATATTTAGGGGTGTTGATAGGGGAAGCTAGGAATATATTCATTATTTTTACAATTAAAAATCTCAACTTATGAGCTATTTGGGGTTTTGGGGTTTTGGGGTTTTGGGGTTTTGGGG